TCAGAGAGCTCCGGTCCTCAAATGTCGAGCATGAAATTGTGACCATTTTTTGCGCACAAAAATATTTTGTTTCTCGCATAGAGAGTGAATTGTCGAACGAGAGTTTCAGGCTTTTAAAAAATTCCGAATGAGCGTACTTTTCTTGAAAAAATGCTACAAGTAGAGGACAAAGATATATATTTTTTATTGTTTTCGCGGTTTGAGGATTGAATAGTGTCTACATTCGGTTGGAAATGTCTTTGTTTCCGGTACTTCCAAATGCTTGCGAGACGTACGCTGGCTCTCCGCTAAAAATATGAAAATAATACGTCTCTCTTTTTTTTCGTTTTTCCCCGTGAATGAAGGAAAATCAAGCGGCAGAAATGCAACTTTTGTGCGATTGTTTTTCACGTATGGTCGAAATTACATGAATGCTTAACCCGAGAGTGAGAGAGAGAGTCTTAAATTCAGTTGAAACTATAGGGGGATCACGTATCCTATAAGCTTTGCCAAGCATCGGAGCTAAATTTCCTCTCGGTCGATGTCAAACACGAGAATCGCATCAAAGACAAAAACCTTGAGAGCTGCCACTGGAATTGTAAAGGGTATAGGAGCCCGGATAAGGTCTCTCGAGCCCTTGGCACGGAGTACATTGCTCTTGCTAGTTTGATAATAAGCACTCGAATAAAACTCGATTGATATATGTCAATGAACGTTTTCCACTTTATATGCTTTATATACTTTCTGTGTGTCTGCCTTTAGAAGCTTGAACTAATTGCTCAGAGTCGCGATAAGTTATGCTTTGAAGTGGGTATAGAAACAACTTCACGACCAACGAGAAGATTCCGCTAAAAATTTTGCATCAACAGTTATTCAATGCAAAACTTTGAAGTGATTAATAAACCAATTTAAATTATATAACTCTCCCTTAATTAGTGTAAAAATAGTTAGAAAATTAAGCCGCTTGGCGGATGTTGTTAGGCATATAAATATTATACTTTGAAAAAAAGGGCAAAATACGAGTCTAGAACGTAGTACGTAGTACGTCTAGTATCTAGACCCATGCAATTCAAAATAATTTTTTTTCAAATCGAACCTCACGCTTTTCATAATATATTCGTTCGATCGCTCGTGTCTATTTTGCATAAAAAAAGGGAAAATCTTCAATTTTCAATACTTTACTACATCAAAGCTGCGTTAGGTAAATCATTTAAACACGTACAACATACATGCCAAGAGCAGCAAAAGCAATCTGCATAAGCGCTTAACTGTACATACACGTATGTACTCACTCTCTCTCTCTCTTTCTCTCTGCGTATTGCACACTTGCATATACCTCGTGGAAAATCTAAAATCGATTTACCAAGTCCGTATAAATACACACACTCTCGCGCGCGCACACACACAGCGGAGTCTGCGCCGAAGAAGCTGCGGAGCTTTCAACGCATTTCCCGCCAAGTTTTCTGTCATCGGTCGATATGTGCGCGCGCGATGCACACACAAACACCAGCAAGCAGCTGAAAGGGTGTCTAGCATCACGCCGAAGTGTCCCGGTTAAACGCCTATCTTTCGCAGGACTTGAACGCGGCCGTCTAGCTATGATATGCATTTACGAGTTACTAGGCCGCAATGATGATTTTAATTGAGCTGCGGTGCTTGCACTACCAATGCCTCGGCTCGAGAGCATACTCCTTATGAGGAGACATCAGAACCGATGCTGACCTTTTTTCTCACCCTTTTAAACGCGCTCCTTTGCCTCAACTACTCGCTTCAATTATTTAGTGACTGCGTTGAATAAACGTACAAGCGATGGATGACCTTTATACGCGCACACGTCAAACATCTTTTCGATCTTCAAATAAATCTTTAATGACGCAATTGCGTCCTTGGTGGATTTTATCTTTCATTTATCCAACTAAATTGGTAATCATGATGCGGCTTTCTGAGCAAAAAATGCTTGCACTGCTACGCCAATAAAGCTCGATGTAAAAAACTGCATTTTTAGCATTCCGAAGTAAATCGAATTAGCTACAATTGTTCCCATGTTTCAATTAGTGCTAAATAAGCCATGCAGTACTCGAAAAATTTTCAAAAATTTTAACCGAAAACGTAACTGTGGCAGTCATTAATTATTTCATTATTAAATTACGAATGTTACAGTTTGCTTGTTACATGAAGTATACTCTGAAGTAATTTAGTTTCCAATTTGACGACTTACTTTCCAATATTATTTGAAATTATTTTGTATTGTGTAAGTATTTTTTGATTATCACCATTTACTTTTTACAGTATGTATTTAAAAACGTTTAATTATTGATATCGTAAAAATATTTTTGTATTAATCTAAAAACTGAGAGCTGCGATTACGTGTTTTGCACGGGTCAGATCTCTTATTAATGGTCACGATTTGAGATTTGCATAAGTACGTTTAAGCTATTCCGAATGCTTCATTCTATTGAAAGAGATTGAAAATCTGTGATTTTAAATTTATCATTAGGCATAAGTATGACTTTAAAATTTCAAACTTACTCAGCGTACTTAGTCTTCAGACTTTCTGCTTTCAGAATTTTACTGACACAGTTTCACTTATTAATTTAGCTTTTTTTCATGAAAATATCAGAAGGATTTTTGAAAAAATATTGCATAGCTGCAACGGAAGCAGGCTTGTTGAAAAAATAATTGAACGTTTTTAAAAGTCCATAGAGCGTGCTAGATTTTTTAACATTCTGGTTTAGATTGAATGATAGCTAGGAGAAAGATTTATTTGCACTCAATTCGTTTGCCAATCGAATTAGATAACTAAAAAATAAAACTAAATAAATTGCTGAAATTCCTATCGATGTAAAATCTCGATAAAGTGAAAAGTATACGTCGAGATTTTGTTTGAACTCAAAGTTAGTCAGCTGAAACGAATTTGAATTGGCAAACTCATTTTCTCACTAGTGTACTGATGAATAGGGACGGTTAGTATACGGAGATTTTAGGATTTAAGCTTTATGGAGACACTGGGAGAAAAAAATCGATTTTTCGACGCTCCCGGATTAGTGTAGATTGAGTTTTTGGTTGGGCTACGGATGATTGAGTAATATATTCAATTCAATCGAATCTTTTTTTTCTCTACTCGGTCCTTTTATCTTCTGAAAACTTTCTTTTTATTCCTCACGCAGATTAAAGAAATTTTTTGAATACTTATTATCAGATGTAAAAACTACCCAGCAAAACCTATATATTTTTAGCTTCAAACAAGCATGGCAAAAATTTGTTCTCCTTTTTAATACGCTTCGGGGTATAAGACAAAAAGTTACTTAATTTTCCCCGTCAGTGAAACCTTCGAAAGGATGGGCAAGGGAGATTAAACTCTAAAAAAGTAATGAAAGATTCGTTTTTTTCCACGTCCCGCGCGTTGTTACGCGTTATGTCGTGCCCAAGAAGTGCGCAAGAAAGTTTCCCTCGTGAAATAAAATAAATGTAAAAAGTCCCGGGTATGTTTATGCATAAAATATCGGAGATAATTTATAATTGCCGGCATCAGCGAAAGGCTTAAGCACCATAAATAGTGTTGAAACACACAATCCATCTGGTCGCGTGCAAGCACAACGTGGCAGACCGAGATCTTTGCTACTCTGCAGCGATTTTCCAAGGAACAATCACAAAAGAAAAAGAAGAAAATGAGTCGGGACGTTGAAATCTTCAAGAGTCCGCACGATTACGCGCACCTGACGTCAGTAGCGGCTGCGAGGCAGTCAGATAATTTTAACGAACTTCACAAGGATTTCCCGAAGACGACGACGTTCGGGGTCATATACATTTTTTGCGCGCACTGGTCCTTTTTTCCTCGACTAGAGCAGGGCCAGAGAAAGGGAGACAATAATCGCTAATAGCTCGATTAGCTACACCTGCAGTATAAATATGCCCTCGGATTATTTCTTCCAGTAAAAGTGACTGTCGTAGCGAGCTAATCTGCGCTACGATCAAAATTGCATTTCTCCGCTGCGTCAGAGAATCAAAAAGGGCCAAGTGCTTTTTGTTAAAAAATTAAGAAAGTTGGCCTCGCGCGCGCGAAGTCTCGATGGTATATAATGCGTGACGTGCTGCTGCTCTCGCGCATCTCTTCTCGGCTTGAATTTACGCCAGGGGAAATTGCGCCGCACGCGCGACTTGCAAAATTGTTGGTGTGTAATAAATCTTTAAAATAAGTCGCACGGTGTATGCATGTAAGGTATATAGCGCAGAGGCGCGAGTTGTATGCAGGAGAGAGCAGTGGTACAAGCTGCAGACACAGAGAGAGAGAGAGAGAGAGAGAGAGAGGCATAAGTGTAGTTGGCGCGAAAGTAAGTCATATAATAGGAAAGGGCTTGGTTGTTAACCCCCATGGCTTGGGCCGCCTTCCTCCGATGCGCGCAAGTTCGCACTCGCGCAGTGTCGCGCGCGGCAGATAAAATTTAATTATACTTATTATTAGTTGCAGTTCGCGAGGCGCGTATTTCACTCGGCACTCCTCGACTTAATTGTTTAAGTTTCTCCCTCTCTCTTTTCTTGTAAAATTTCGAGTGCAGCTACTGCGTTGAACAATCGCTCGGCGCGATCAAAGAAAACTGCCTTCGTGCGCCCGATAAATATTTATATCGAAATCTCCGCTCCTCGTATTTCTTCCTCAGCTGCGATCATCGGAGCTCGTTCTCGTCGAATTTATGGCCTAGGTCAAAAAGCGCCGGATTAGTTGCCTGGGCATACGCACTGACACAAGTGCACCAACGCACACACACAAACGAGGCGCGCCGTAGCGAGATTCTAATACGGCCCTGTCGCAATGCGTTTACTCCGTAAAATCAAAGCATATACATAGATATGCGCGTGTATACATATACGGCTGGCGTTGTGTAATCTTTGCTCGGGATCGTGTAGGTCGAGTTGCTACAGCTACAGCTACTGCTGCTGTATAGGTACCGACACGCGTAACCCTACGGCACATGGGGGTTACCGCGGCAACGCCGACAAACCTGGCTGCAGCGCCTTTGAAAATGGAGCTCGATCCGGACTACACGTTTGTGCCTCTCGCACCGAGACATTACATGGGTATCGAGAATAAAAATACCCAGCGTAACTTCATGAAATGGTGAGGCTGTTTTTTTCTTTTTTTTTTTTTTTTTTTAAGTAAAAATTTGCTCGTATCTACAGCACATAAACGTAATTACGTGTATTAGTTTGTTTCTACGTGCGCCCGTGTGTGACGTGCATGTATGTGTGTGTGCGTGCGAAAATTTGATAACCTTTGGCGGGACTGCGGTGTACGCACGCTCCGGCGCGCCTGCACTTTTAATGAGACCTCGACGCTGCCTTACTATTACATTTTCTCTCTCAACTGCGCAGGGGACTGCTGGGCAATATCAGCATACAAGATTTCTGTTTCAATGAGCCGTTTCAACCGTACAACAAATATCACATCGCCGAGGTTACACATTTTTCTACCCCCATCTCAATTTTCTCAGCGCGTATTCACCACACTATGTTTCATTTTCCGAAATTCGGATTTTTTCGCAGCAATTTTTCAAGGATGATAAAGTCGTGTCAAGTTTGCTGCTGAAAGAGGGAGATGCATGGATCAATAAAGGTATGAAGATGAGAAAGAAAAAGACCACAATAAATGTGTAAAATGCAAATTGATGATATTGATCAATCGTGTAATATTTACAGGCATCGCAGCTGCCACGGTGGAGATCACGCCGGTGCCGTGCACTGTATTCAACATGAGCTTTTTCGATAAATTAACAAACCCTGAGAACGGCATCTGCGGAGCGACTGGAAATATCCGCAAACAATGCGACCTCGAGATCGACAATTTCATCGTATCCGACAAGCTCAGATCGGTAGGGGCAGCATTGATTGTCTCTCTTTCTCTTCCTTTCTCTTTTTCTCTTTTTCTCTCTTTCTCCCTTTCTTTTTTATTACATTGAGAGAAAAAAAGCAGCACGTTATTATGTCGATGTATTTATATTCATAGATGATACTCGACGAGGATAGCTGCGAATATAATTTATTCAGCAGCGAGGAACGAGAAGAATTTATCTTTCGGCTTTTACAATTATTGGTTCTTGGCGGCGCGCTCTGCCAGTACGAGGACGAGGTGAAACCATATTTAGACACGATAAAAATAATCTACAAAGATCTCGTACGGTATGGCATGTCTCGCGATATTTTTTCACGAACCACGACGAGAAAAAAAGAATCATTTTTCCAAAAGAAGAAAATTTTTTCTGCCCTTCTCAGAGTACACAAGAAAGAGCTAAATTACGAACTGTCGATAGGTACGACTGTGTTGCAAGTCGTAGCGCGAGATGCCCGAGGCGAGGCGTTCTTTCCAAGCGAACCGGAGCAACGGCAAAATATTGGATTCCTCTTAATAGATGGCACAAATCGACAGATAACGACGCTTCTACATCAGTTTGGTGCTTTTCATTCTTGGTGATGGATGTTAAACGAAGCTTTTCTTTCTCTTTTTTCTACCCTCATACGTACGAATATATCTGTATATTCTTGGTAAAATTGCCAAGACTGATTTAAAGGATAACTTGTATTTGGGTTGTATGCAGAGAGAGGGAAAAGCAGAATGCCAGTGGATTTATTGTAGTATTTTTCCGCAAAAGTTTTTTTGTCATTTTAAAGTCTCGTTATGACCGAGGTTTTTTTGTCATTTCAAAAGTGCCACGCGCTTAATTAGAAAAAGACAGCTTTGGACGAAATATACGAATCTCGTAATGAAAAAATGTTGTGGATCATTTTATTCGCACCGACTCCTCAATTGCGTTCATATATTAACTTCCGATATATATTTTCAATACAGTCATTACAATTGGAGTGAGAAGAAAAATAAACAACAATTAACAAATTCACGTGGTAATGAAGTGAAGAAAATTAAACGCTCCCATCTGTCCAATTCTCCTTTCATTTTCCGCACACGTGTGCGTGCGTTCGTTACATCGCGTACGTGTATTAAACACAGTCAAGCAATTTTGAAAATTGAATATATTTACTATATGTAGGGGGATGCGCGCAGGATACGAAATAGACAAATTGTTGCTTATATGTATACAAGACTGGGCATGCCAGGCGTAAATTGCAAGTGTAACACGAACGAAAAACAACTCCTTTTCCGGCGCACAATAGCCTTCCTAGTGGATTAAAAGCAACGGTGCGATGAAGCGCCATGCCTTTTTTTACTTGTTCATCTTTTTGCATATTTTACACGTTGTGTGCGCATATATACACGAGCCCGTATATACATACAAAATAATGAAAAGGGTAAATCTCATTAAAAACATAGAAGTGAACAAAAAAAATAAAGTAACTCGGTGGAATGAATACGCAGCCAAAAAAAAAAGAAAGGAGCACAGTACGCTATCGACGCTCGGCTCTACGCGTACATATATATAAGAAAATGCACAGGCAGTTTCAAGGAGTTAAGGACACATCGTCGTCTCGTTTGCTTTCTTTTCCTTGTATATTCCTCTCCTCTCTTTTTTTTTACAGTAAGCATGAGAGCCTCATTTACATTTGCTCTTTGTTGTCATTTTCTCGGCAGCAAAGCTTCTCTTTTGCCCGCTCTTTTTTTTGTACCTCGCACGCGCGCTAACTGCTGCTCTCGAGTATTTACGCATACTCAAACGCTTTGTTGCGCTCTGGCTCCTTTTCCCGCATATATAGCTTCGTTATTCCGTTTTTGTCTCTTTTTTTCATCCTACGACTTATTCTTTACTTCTGATGTGCTTATCTAAGTTAGTGATTGTCTTTTTTTGCGCCTCACGTTCTGAAAATACCGCGAGTAAAAAATGCAACGAAAATCAATAAGTTTCATTCAAAGCATTTACAAGTCACTTATTTAATTTTGCCACCGTCAGGGAAAATGATATCGCGATCGTAATCTTAAATTTCTTTCATTTTTTGTTTTCGGGTGCCTCTCTGTCTTCACTCTATTTTAGCGATTCGTATTCTCTGTTTTATGTGGAATCCATTCCTTCTTTCATTTCTCGACGCCTGCCTAGTTTCGAGCGCATATCTGCATATCAAATCTCATTCGTCGTCGGTTCTCTCTTCTTCTTTCAGTCATTTCTTATATGTACGCAATGCGCTCGACTTCGATTTCTCTCTCACTCTCCCTTTTTCCTTGTACAATTCGTTTTTCATTTCTCAACTTTACGAAAAAAAAAAATTCGCGACCGAGTTTGACTACATGATCATAATGGTTATATACTTTCTCTACTCTTACTTTACACCCGGAACTCGACATGTGCTTGGGTAAAATTTTGAAATTCAAATAATAAATTTGTACCTTACGCTGAAGGATTTGAATTCCCGGTTAATTTAGTGTCGTCACATTACGAATACTCCTACTACCTTTGTGTGTCAATGGCATACTGAATTTTCCTCTTCCTTATATGGCGTATTGCACCTGCATTTTTATTACCATTAGAACTTTTTTGTAATAATTTGTAAAATTGAATTAATAATATTATCTTCATATAATACTTTTACTGAAAAAATTATGATTTTTTTAATACTTCTTTGCTATTTATTAAATTTACAAATCGTTTAATAGCTAATGTAATGCAATGTAATTAGTTTTGAAATAATAATTAGTGGAAATCAACGGGAACAAGGAAAACATTTCCCCACGTTATTATTGAGGAGCATTATGTCATCCCTCGAGAATTAAATTACGCTGCTGGTGCGTTTGATTCTGAAAATTCAAAACACACGACACCGTCTGACAAAAATCTCATTTCACTACTCACAACAATACACTATAATGGGGTATGTATACAGGCGAGTATTCTCACTTTTATTTAAAGCACGGCTGTCTCGAGTCTATTATGTCGCGTACGAGGCAAACAGCACTCGAATCCACGTGCAAGTGAAATGAAAGCAATTTCTTACGATATAATATATTATAGATGTATGGCATGCACGCATGGAAATACCCGTAAATTTTTATCTATAGACCGTTGGGCTGCTCATTCGCAGCTCAAAGCACAAGTCCCGGATATCTGACTTTGGTGCAGCTCGCTTCATGATTCATATATTAAGCGTGAAGCCTCGTAAATCAATGTCCATATCCGTGAAAATGCGATGGATAGGTATAGACTGCAATATACGCGCGCGTATATATTTTTCCTTCATACGCACATTACTCACATAAAATACTGATTTCTTGAAAAAGAAAGTTTTTTCATCAGTGTTTACAATTTTTGAAGTGTATAAAATTCAGCGAATCAATAATCGTATATTAAATGAAAATATACATTACATTTTTAAAGTTCCTCATTTTTAAAGGTCCTCATTATCTTCAAATAATTATTCATTCGGAGTTTGAATATTTAAAAAAAAATTTCAAATATTTTATTGTTCTAAACAAAATTACAGAATATTTATGTGAACGATTTTCTAAAATTACGTGACATAATAATGTAATTGATAGAAATCTTCATTGAAACCAAACATCTCGAGACAAATTTTACGCTCCTAAGATTCGCTCCGACTATGTGCTGTCAAAGTTTGTCTTTTGAATAGATAGTGGGATCTAAATGATTCGTGACATATTTTAAATTACAAAAATTTGCTCCAATTATGGAATTATCCAATTATTAATAATCCAATAATATATTATTTATATGAGAATCAAGGTTACTTTTTTGTTAAGATGATTTATGCAAAATCTCATTCAAAGAGTTTTTTACGATTATGTATTAAATGTAAGTGTTTTCGGTGATATCTGAATCATTTGATATAAACAATAAATTCGAAGGATTTTCTCCGACTATGTACTGCATTGAGGTGCTTTATGAAATCCTTCTGATATACATTTTATATTTATATGACTTATATCTTTTGCTGTCGAATGGTTATCAATATTACTTTACCTTTATAAGTGTTATACGTTTTTTTTAATCCTTATACCCTGATAAGATAATTTGGTTAGAATCGTTTTTCTAAATTTCATAACCTGATCCTCATATTCATCAAATTTCAATTAGAATTGTACTTGAAATAGACGATTGTTATCATAATCAAATTGTTTTTTTATCAAAATTATCAAACCATTATCATCAAGTAATTGGTGTAATTTACGATAGGTGAATAAATTTGACCCTCAGTTTTGTATGTTTGTAGGTAAAGACATCGGTTCAGGTTCAGTACCTTTGCACTCAAAATCAACGAATACTTTTTCATCTAACCTTTCCTGAAATCCATATCCTGATTAATGTGATTTGCCGATAATTAAAATGCTGTAATAGGTTTTGATTGCAAAAGAACAGATCATAATTCAATTCATTCAACACACTGATGATTTAGAATACTTGAGTATTTCGAAGTTTTGTCTTCGCGAGTCCACGCCATTTTTTGGCTAATGTTTTGAATCATAATTTCATCTCGTTATTGTCTAAACTTATTAAAATTGCAAAATAAAGCAGTTTCTTGCTGGAGCCGCAAGAAAATTGGTGCACGATAATTTAAAAAGAAAAGTTTTTATAAATTGTTGAAGAATCTTCCCGTTCAAAATTTCCAGCTGAATGCTTATCTTTTCATATATTAGAGAGATCATTATACTGTGTACAAATTTCCATCTCATCAATTTTTCCTCGTCAAAAGAGCAGACGAAGAAATGTTTTTAATGAAAAAAACATAACTGGCATAAATAATTCAACGTCACGCGGTATGGGTTTATTCGACTAAATCCATTTATAACGCACACACAGCAGAGAGCGGGCAGCACAGTAGCGCTTCTGACATTTGTAATATACATTTGATGAGTTGCACATAGCATAAGCTATAATACAGGAATTACAGCTATTGTAATAGATGTATATCGTTCGAAATTATGGCTCGCGAGTGCTGAACTCTCCCAGAGGCTGACGAATAATTGTAGATTTATAAGCTTGTGTACGTGCCCGCGCATAGATCTGTGTACAAACACGATGCGAGCTTGCATAGAGGCGAATAATTCGAGGGGAAAAAACAGCAGCAGCGTCCAAAGACAAAGTTGAAAACTATTTCCGAAATCGCATAAAATCTCAAAGGTGCTAGGTAGCATAAATATATCCTCTTTTCGGGGCTAAAGTTACGTGAAACTAGCGGCAGCGAGAGGAGGGCCCGAGCCACTTATAGATATATATACGCACTCGTATAGCGTAACATCTGGTGCTGTCGCTATGAATGCGAGTTGCACTTATCCTTGCTTTTGGTAAAGCTACTCCCTGCGTGCTGTTGAAGCCAGGCTTCGTTCTCATCCCTCGCCCGCTCCTACTCCTATTCCAGCTCCTCTCTCCATCTCTCTCCATCTCTCTCATTTCGACCACGCGCGCGCACAGAGCCCCGAAAAAAACTTTTGCCGCTTCGAGTCCTTATATCCTCTTTAAATCTTTGCGAAACGTCTACCCCGCCTGTCGAACGTTGAAAAGTCACTTTTCTCTT